CAGTGGCCGGGAGCGGCCACTGCACTCCAGTCTGGGTGACAGAGTGAGTCTCCAACTCAATAAAAGAAAGAAAGAAAGAGAAAAAATATAAAAATACACACATACATACACACAAAGACCTACTGGGAGGTGCCCAGGAAGAAAGTCTTCTCCCCTGGCTTGAGAGTATGTGTGTGTGTGTGTGTGTGTGTTGGGTGGCCTGGGTAAGTAGTGCTCTCCTCACAGGGAGGCCCTGTTTCTGGTCCAAGACTCTCTATTGGTCTTTCTGGAACATGCACACACCCCTCCACACATGCAAACATACCCTCTGAGAAAAAAGAGGCAGCAATGTAGAGGAACATTTTCCCTGTAAATATGCCCCCTGTCCCACACACAGATGCACAGAGACAGATGACAGACATCCACAGCAGATGCTGACACACACTCTCACACAAACACATGCAGACATCACCACCCACACAGAGACACATCACACACACGTACACAAACACACATACACATACCACCGATACACAGACGCTACTGTCCAGCAGGGCATGGTGGCTGGAGGTGTGAGGTGGCTGGGTCCCTGGTGGCACATGAGAGCTGGGACAGAAGCCAGAGGGGCACACGGGCAGGAGGCCGGGAAAGTTGGCCCCAGGGACTCACCTTCTCGATAAGCTCCATCAGAGGCTTGGCCCTGAGCTCCTCAATCCTGGTCTCGTTCATACATGCGCGGTAGTATACCTGTGCCTTCCTCTCTGCCTCGCTCGCGCTGGCTGTGGCATTTTCTGGAATGACAGACGGCAGAATTTGCCATGTGCCCCCATTTGCCCACTGGGCAGCCCTGGCGAGTCTTCCTTCTTGGATTCTTGGCGCTCTCTGCTGTATAAAAGAGCTCTGCCATCTGGCTTCAGGCTACGGTGAGGACCTTGGTCGCAGTGGGGACACAGGTGCCCCTGGGCAGAGCCTGACTGCGAATAAGAAGAGCCTGCCATGTTTCTCCCCCTCTGCCGATCGGGTTCACAGACGTGTCCCCAGGTTGGCAGCACGGGCCCACCCACAGGACAGTCTGCTTCCCCTGCGGCCAACACGTGGCACACACACCCCTGCCTGGTGCATGGGACAGAGGCTTGTCTTGGTTTTCAGGTCCCATATGACCATTCGTGTGATAAAGACTAGAGTTGTTCGGAGCCTTGAAAGGCTTCATTCATTATGAAGTTACTTTCCGCTTCCTCCTCGCGGGGGCTGGCGCATCCACCAGGCTCACGGTCTCCTCTAAGGGCCATTTTCCACCACCCTTGCCAAGACCTGAAAGCTGTACCTCCCTCCTGTTGTGGTTTCTCAGGCCTTGCCCTGGAAACCCGGGAGATTCCTCCCTGTTCCCTCACCCCCGTGCTCTAATCTGGATGCCACCTGCTAAAGGCCATGCTCCCGAGGGTGTATAAGCGTGGAAGGCTCCCGTCTACACCCGGCAGAGGTGGTTACTTTCTGTTGTTCAGGATCACAGGGGACCTACTATATGCCAGGGTTCCTGTGTCCATGTGGTCCTCTCAGAGCCCTGCTCCAGACCACACCAGGTGCCCTGACACCCTCGATGCCGTCTGTCCCACTTGGCTCCCTCCCTCGGGACCTTCTCACTGCTCTCATTTCTTTTTTTTCTTTTGTAGTCAGAATCTCACTCTGTCACCCAGGCTGGAGTGCAGTAGCATGCTCACAGCCCCCTTAGCGTTGACCTGCTGGGCTCAGGCAATCCTTCCACCTCAGCCTTCCAAGTATAGGCACGCACTACCATGCCCAGCTAATTTTTTCGATATATTGTGTTTTTTTTCTTTTTCTTTTTTGAGTTGAAGTCTCACTCTGTCACCCAGACTGGAGTGCAGTGGCATGCTCACAGCCACTGCAGCCATGACCTGCTGGGCTCTGGCGATCCTTCCACCTCAGCCTTCCAAGTCGCCGGAACTATAGGCGCGCACTACCATGCCTGGCTAATTTTTGATTTATTGTAGAGACAAAGTCTCACCAAGTTGCCCGGGTGGATCTCGAACCTGTGGACTCAGGCAATCCACTCGCCTTGGCCTCCCAAAGTGCTGGGATTACAGGCTGAGCCACCAAGCCTAGCCTCGATATATTGTAGAGATGAGGTCTCACCAAGTTGCCCAGGCTGGTCTCGAACCCCTGGGCTCAGACAATCCTCTCACCTTGGCCTCCCAAAATGCCGGGATTACAGGTTGAGCCACCACGTCCAGCCCGCTTTCCCTCATTTCATACTCATTTCTGACCTGGACATCCCTTCCTTTGCTTCCTTCAAAGACCTCCCAAACCCCACCTCCTCCATGAAGATGTTTCTGGCAGAACTTACCCACCCGCAGAACAGATATTAGGTGTTTATTCTGCCAGGAATTGTGTGAGCCCCGGGACCCCGGGACCCCGGGACCCAGAAAACATCCTAGTCTCTGCAAAGCTCCTGCATGGGATCCTGTTAAAACCCCACTCAACCTTCAAGGCTTCTCGGAGGCCATCGTTCCTGCGAAGTTGTCCCTAAGATGTTCACTCCGAAAGGCCCTCAACACCCTGAGCACCTATTGGGTGCCAGGAACAGGCTGGGCACTAAGTTTTATGGACATCAATAAGACTTGCTTCCTGCTCCCAAGGAGCTCATGGTCTCCTGGGGGACACGGACCTACAAAGCAATGACTACAAAACACAAAAGTGCTCTGAGCAATGCAAATGACTACGAGGCACAGAGAAGTGACCCCCTTGGGGGGGTGGGGAAAAGAAGGAGGTCTCCAGAAGGTGTTCACTTGTGTCTGTTCTCAAATAAGAAAAGCTGCTTACCAGGTAGAAATGAGGGGAGGGCACACTGGGCTGGCGTAGCAGGACAGTGTGGGGACATGCAAAGATGCATAAAAGGGCACACTGACCAGAGTAAAGCACAAAGGGCACGAGTTACTTCCCACCCAGTCTTTCTTTCTTTTTTTTTTTTGAGTTGGAGTTTCACTCTGTCACCCAGACTGGAGTGCAGTGGCCGCTCTCGGCCACCGCAGCCTCAACCTGCTGGGCTCCGGCGATCCTTCCGCCTCAGCCTTCCGAGTAGCCGGAATTACAGGCACGCGCTACCACGCCCGACTGATTTTTTGATTTATTGTAGAGATGAGGTCTCGCTGCCCAGGCGGGTCTCGAACCCGCGGGCTCAGGCAATCCACTCACCTCAGCCTCCCAAAGGCGCGGGATTACAGGCTGAGCCACCGAGCCCGGCTCCCACCCAGTCTTTCATCAGCCTTCCCAGCCATCACCCCAGAGAGCTCCCTGCCTCCCATTCTCCCCATGAATAGCACCATGGTTTGTTCTGTTCAGAGACCCTGGTATTGCTGAAGTCAGGGTGACAGCCTTGAATGGGGGATGGGACCAGCCTCAAGCTAGTTTGAAGGGAGACACAGACACAAGAGGACCCCTGGAGTGAGAGACGGGGTCAGGAGCCTGAACGAGGGACGATGGAAGGTATGCACAGCCCTGGAGACCACAGGCTACCACGCCAAGTGCTGGAAACACCTGTGTGTCTCGCAGACCCCATGGGAGCAAGAAGAGGCTTCCCAGAGGAAGACCGGAAAACGGACAGGCTGCTCCCTGCTCCTCAGCCTCTGGGAAAGCAGAGGGGGAGCTCCCACCCCTCCCAGGGGTCTTGTTTCCATGGCAACACCCCCAGTGGCTAGGCTCCTGGAAGGGAAGGCAGGAGAGTCCTCACTGCCCAGGAGGCAGCATCTTGCCACCCACATCTGGCTCTGGTCATGACCCTGAAATGCCAGGGCCAGCGTCTGGGGAGGCGCTCTGTGTGCTCGGGTCCGGGAACAGGCCTGGCGTCTCCCTCCCCCAGAGGCCCAAGGCCACCAAGATAAGAGGCCCCAAGAAAGGCTCCCAGGAACAGGAACAGCCTGGCTGGGTTAATTACAGCATGTTCCAAGGCCCCCTGGCCCCGCTTTCTTGACACTTTTCTGAATTATCCTCCTTCAGTCACAGCCTCCCCCTCTCCTTCACTGAGAGGCTGCCCTGACCAAGTTCAAACCAAGTTCAAACTTCCTTCCTGCGGGCTCCAGCAACCTTGGAGCCAGGCTCACTTGTTTCCCACCAGTCTGTGGAGTTCCTCTTGCTTGGCAGCTGGGGCCTGTCCGACTGTGGGGACCTGTCCGCATGAGGCTTGCAGCCTGGTGGGTGAGGCGGACAGCAACGAAACACTCACAGGAGCACCTGATTACATACTGGAGTGAAGGCTGTGAGAAGGGAGGCCATGAGGCCTGGAGAAGGCCAGGGAGCCTCCCTGAGGAGGGCTTGTTTGAGCTTCAGGCAGAAGGATAAGCTCACTACGAGGTGGAAGTGGGGGCGGTGCCTGGGCTGCCTCACCCATAGGAGGCCCTCAGCACCCTGAGCTGAAAGAACAGGGCCCAGTGTTCCCCTGCCCCTCCTCGTGTTTTCTGAGTCGGAATCTCGCTCTGTTGCTAATCACAGCAATCCTGCTGCCTCAGTCTCCCGAGTAGCTGGGACAAGCATGAGTCACTATGGCTGGCTAAATTTTATTTTCTGTAGAGACAAGGCCTTGCCATGTTGCTCAGGCTGGTCTCAAATTCTTGGGCTCAAGCAATCCTCCTGCCTTGGCCTCCCCAAGAGCTGAGATTATAGGTGTGAGCCACTACACCTGGCCTGTTTTGATGAGGAAGAACACCATATTGGAGGATAAGAGAGTGATGAGGCCAGGTGCCCCCAGGAGATGTGCCTGGGGAGGAAACGAGACAGGTGAGCAGGATGGGACAGGAGAATGGGCCCCATTAGGGCTGGCATTCACGCCCCCAACGTGTCTCAATTGTATCCTGCCACTGATGCTGGCCAGGGCAGGAGCCCTCAAGGAGGACAAAGTTCCTCTTCCTCCCTCTGGTTCCAGGAGCCCCTAGGGACAACTCACAGCATATCCTCCCACCTTCTCTTTTTCTTCTTCACTCGGGACACCTACTACCTTGCAGGTCCAGGGGACAGGAGCTAAAGCCAGACACCAGGTGGGAGGCTGCTGCAACAGACCAGGTGAGTGGAGGGGGAGGCAAGGGGCAGCCAGGGCACCAGACACGTTGGGAACGTGAATGACAGGGGAGGTGAGAGCAGTACCAAGCTTCCTCGACCTGAGCAAGGAACTACTGCTACCCTGGATGGGGAAGCCTGGGGCTGAGGGGCTGGTATAGGAAGTAGGATAATAAAGCCTTGCTACAGGCATTTAAAGTCAGAGATCGCTATTAGGCATCCAAGGGAAGCCCTGGCCAGGGAATTTCGTAGACTCTGCAGAGCCGTTGTCTTAAACTGCTTTTAGTCCAAATAGGCACTGGATTATTGCCCATAGCAAAATTGTCCATAGGGCCCTCTGAGAGACAACAACAACAACAAAACTGGAATTATCTTTTGGCTGGTAGCCCCTTGCAGTACAGGCTTCCCCTGCTAGGTAAGTGTTCTAGGAGGCATCGGCACCCCTATACCAGCTGGCTGTCAGAGGCTGTATTTGCTTCAGTGAATTTTTGTGTGTGCGTGTGTAGATTCTTTCAACGTGTTTGACCATTTAATGATGGGTTATTTACGAGTACACCTGCCCACTCTCTGCTGAATGTTCAACAGTTTTTGACCCAAAACAGCATGACCCCCCCCCCAGGTCCCACTCTTCCTATTCATTTGATCTTACCCTGAGTGACTTTTTTTTATTTGCCGGATGAAAAAGTCTTCAAAGGGAAACGTTTTCCCGGATGTGGAAGAGGCGAAA